ATTAGTATTTTTTGCCGAAATCCCAAATCCCAAATCCCAAATACTAGTAATTTGGGATTTGGGCAACACGTATAATACTAATACTTTTTTGCCATTCATTATCATCATAAGCATATACCCGATATTCACCACCATCTTCAAACATTCGAAGCTTAATTTCTTCACTTATTAGCCTTTCCCTCCTGGACATATAAAATATCCCATTAACGTCTATGTCATCTTCTTTCGCAAATTCGATAGCATCCGCATCCGACATCATCTTGTCCCGATACCCCCTAGATAGTCTAACGTCTTTTTCAGTTATGGTAACGAACTTATCTGGATCTTCGCTGTGATCGACGGCCCACTGTCTGAGACGTTTTTCCCTTTCTGCTCGGGGTATGTATCCAGGTGGATATGATTCCGATTGGGTGGTGACTTCTCCATTGCTGGACTTGGGTTCACTGTTTGCAGGTAAGTCGGGAGATAGTTCGGGTTCATCTTCCACTGATTCCTTGATAATTTCTAGAGATTTAGGTTTATCGTCCGCAGGTTCTATACCCACGATTTCGGGAGGCAGAGATATATTGGTATATACGTATTACCCAAATCCCAAATCATTTGGGATTTGGGATGCCAAAATCCCAAATTACTAGTATTTGGGATTTGGGATTTGGGATTTCGGCAAAAAATACTAATCATAATTTGGGATTTGGGATTTGGGATTTCGGCAAAAAATACTAATCATAATTTGGGATTTGGGATTTTGGTATTTGGGATTTCGGCATTTGGATTTTGAATTTGGGTGGCAGGTATATATTGGTAGACTTGGATGACGAAGCAACTGGAGATTCATCTTGATCTATTATTGAGTCGAAGAGATCTTGGGTCGTGTTAGTAACTGGTGGGGCAGGTGATGTATCCTTACTTTTTTTGATGCGATCTGTAGGTAGCGGAATGGCATCTATTTTTTCTGGTTCGGGAGTTACAATTTCTGGGATATCGAATATAGGTATATCCATGGACGTGTTGGAGGATGTCTCAGCTTGAGGTGCATCAGAAAATTCCTCAATATCACCTATTGACTCACGTAATTTAGCTACGATTCTGGGTCGCTCGAGGATATACCGCCATTCTCTTTTTCCACTTCCAGCCCGTTTGTGTTCGACGTTAATTTGTGAGATTTTTTTACCAAAAATGTTACTAGTAAATGGTTTTTCTCCATTACTTCTACACCAAGTGAGATAATCTTGATATAAAGTAGCACTGCTTAGTGTCTCAACTTGTTCCTTAGACCATGGTGATATATAATCTATTATGAATCGCTTTGGATTTGGTAAATGCTCCAGTATTGTATCTGTTTTCATTTTAGTACTGGGAATTTCTTGTGGGTCCCAATTCGAAAGATCACGGCTAAGAAGATATGACATAACTACCCCTGGTGCGTCGGGATGTTCTAGTATTTTAGCCAAACGCTTGAAATATGGTATATTCCCTCTACATCGTGGGGATACATCAAAACAAACTATACGCGAATCTCCCCCATCGATTTTGAGTGGGGCGTCCTGATTGCTTGTTACCATAAATGCAGAGTAATCTCTTAAATGAATAGGATCAATACCTTTACGTTCTATACTTACCTTCCCATCTGTTATAAGGGACTTAAGATGACCATTGAACTTATGCCATTCTCCACTAGACATACTGGTCTCATTCATCACCACAAGTTTTTTACCTTGGATAAGAGTATTAAATTTCCCAAGAATCTTTCCCAGATCAGATGTCGCATAATAGAGATTTGGTCCTAAAACTTTATCACCAATAAAATCAATAATAATATTTTTTCCGCATTGTTGAAGAGTAGACTTAAATACACAGATTGAACGAGTTTTCATTTCTGGTTTTTGTATTAAATATGCCCACCAGTTCCAAATATAATTTTCAAGCTCTTCACTTTCATCACAGATCACATTTTTTACATGCCAAAGGATAGGATCCATGATTTCTTTATTAATTTCTGATGCTGGTTTAGCTATAAATCCCAGGAAAAGATTAAAGAAATTTGTTTTTGGTGGAATTATGTTTGGTGGGTATGGAAGAAAATTGATTTTACAGTATCGAATTAGATTTTTGGTAACTGCTCGATCTATTAATGATCTTAACTTTATTGATTCTCCTCCAAATTCTATTATATTGATCTCATAATTCGCAAGTTCTAGTTTTGGTACAAATACAAAGGTGAGTCCGCTATCCTCATCTTCATCTTCAACTTTAAATATCCAAAACTTTTTTCCTCTATCAATAATAGCAACTGTTACTTGGATAGCTTCGTAAACTTTATTACGGGTATACTTTTCTCCTGATGAGCACATGTCTAATAAGTCACCCCATACAAAACAATCATTTGGATCAGTTATTCTAGGTCAGTTTAATTTTTCTGGAACTGCAAAACTTTCTTCCTGTTCTGAAGTTTTTTCTTTAACAGTCAACTTTATTGAAGGTCTTCTAGATCCAGCTTCCCTATTATTATTCGCACGATGGCAATAGAAACTATACGATTTCTTGTTTCGAATAACATACGCATTATCGCTTGTGTGTGGATCTTTATAACCATATTCTCGATAACATAATGGGCAAAATGCTGGAGCCACCCGTTTAAGAGGGAAACTATCGGGAAAATTTTCACGTGGACTTGAAAGTTCATATCCTCCGATTTCAAATTCTTCTAATAATTTTGCAATCAAATTGAGTTCGATTTCAATATCCTCAGTAATTTCGGTATATGTGACAGAGATTCCATTTGTTTCTGATTCTGGAATAGATATTCTACTCGTTACCAATTCTGGAACAGACAAGAGGGGATTATCAATAACTGGTGAATCGTCATTTGGTGGGCGGATCATAAAGTCGAAAATTGTGCCATCTTTAGGCATAACGGATCTCTTTGGACAAACATGTTTACCAGTGTCTTTGATAATCTTTGGTGTTCCAAGCATTCGTAATGAAAATGGACTCTTATTCGCAATATTATCAACAATACCTTTAGCCTGTAGACCAATTGGGAGTTTCTTACGAACAAGATCAGTAAATAACGCACAAGCTGTGATATTTTTAAGTCTCATACCGAAAGTTGAGATATGATATGAGACTTTTTTCTGGTCAGAACTACTGGCAATAGTTAAGGTTTTAATACTCCATTCTGGATAAATCTCAATACATACCTCTCTAAAAGCTCCAATTAGATCATAATAAACTTGTTTTCGTGTAAGTTTTGGTTCTATACTATCTAGTGTTTCTTGGGATAAATCGAAATCAATAATTGGGCGAAGTGGGACATCCCCATCAATAAATTCGTGTAGTGAATGATCCCGACGATCTGCAAAGATTTTTTCTATTCCATCCTCGGAATCTGTACCGAGAAATTGTCTTGGTTTTTCACTATCATCTCGAATTTTGTATAAATATTCGGCTACACTATCGGTGGTGACGCCCTGGTGGTAGGTACCCCCGTTCCCTTCATAATCGGGCTCTTCCTCTATCTCTAGCTCAAAATTTTCAGCGTTTTCTGGGCTCTTAGGTACGTAAGTATCTTCACATCGCTCGATGTTTTCTTGGGTATCGACAGTTGGTGTATCGACACTCTTTTGAATATTTTGTGTAGTCATAATACGTTATTATTTGAAACTATAATAGTGGTTAGAGAAAAGTTCAAAATAAAAATTAATTATTTTAGGTAATTAGTGTTAGACAATATATACTACTTAAAAATCGTATTAGAAAAGCTTTAGACATGGGGTTTTATCATTGTCCTTATATTCTTAGAACAGGAGAAATGTGTAATCGGGTTGCTATCATCCTAAGGGTTGTCATATTCACCGGGATTCTCCTACCCGTTTACCATGTAAAGTATATAGTTGCGATGAGTTAACATATTCGAAATATGGAGCATGCAGAACTCATGCTGGTAAGTATCGATCTCAGGATCACTATCAACGGGAGAAGCTGAAGAAGACGGCACAAAATAGTGTTATAAAAAATACATAGATTTTTAGGTGCACGTCCAGTTTTCTTGGATGGTTTTTTTCTTGGACGGATTTCCCGGACGTAAAAAAAGATAGCTGGTAACATTTTTAGACTGATAGAAAGAGTTTTAGACTAGCCGTCCAAGTTGTCCAAGTTGTCTAGGTAAATTCTCAATCTTCCCACTTTTATATTTTTTATCTATGTATATGAAATATATATGGCATATGATGTATATGTATATGTATATAGTATATATCGTATATATAATGTATACCATAGGAAAGAGTTTGATATTTTTTTTTTAGAATTTTACTTTTTTCCTAGACATCTTAGACAAAAGAATAGAAAGTATAGAAGAACAAAGTAAAACAAAAATAAACCTTTTTCCCCCATAACATTATCCGTCCAAGTTAGCAATTTTTTACCTAGACGAAACCAGGACAGATTTTTTTCTAGGACGCGAGCAGATCCATTTTAACCACATTCTGGGATATCAATCGTAGGATATAACTTATAGTTGAGTAGGTAAGTAAACATATATCTCACTACTAAAGGCCAACCTGTGACAAAAATTCTGCAAGATGAATCGATATACTTTGATATAGCATGACCTGATAGCATTTTCGCGATATACTTGACAACATGTATCCGATAACATTATTTTTTCTATTAAACATTCTATGCAATATATAAAATGACATCAATACAAGATCACAATATCAAGCCAGATCAAGCTATTAATAAAAATATAGCACAAGAAGAGATTAAAAAAGCAATCAAAGCTTATATAGAAAAGTTTAACCAAGTATTCGAATCCGAACTTGAAAATGAATTTAAAGATTTTATATCTAGTCGTAAACTTATAGTTAAAAATCCTGTTGCTACCAATAATGCATAAATCGCAAGGTGAACTATTACTTTTTTTGGTCTCTCCAAATGACGACAAAAATGTAATCGACTCGTCAAACCCGTGATAAGATCAACTCGTCCCATAACCTAACTCGGCTATCACTTTACAATGGAAATCAATCGGGAACAATGGGCCGGTATATGAAAATTTATATGATGACGATGGCTAATTTTTGTCGCCAGGCCACCCATCACCCTCCATAACCTAACTCGGCTATTACCTTACAATGGAAATCGATCAAAAGCATTAAGCCCGCATACAAATATAACTATCAAATCTGGATTTCTAAAAGAATTAGAATATGCTGTGGAGGGGTCACGCCTATATCGTCATAACCTGTATTGGGAAGTATCTTATACTTGAAATCAGTCAGGATCACCAACCCGATATATGTCCGTTTGGGTGTGACCTAAAAAATATATCACGCCACTGACGACGGTGGCCAACTTTTGTCGTCAGACCACATGACGACGGTGGCCAACTTTTGTCGTCAGACCACATGACGACGGTGGCCACTTTCAGTCGTCAAGCCACATACCCGAGTGGATATAACCTAAACTAAGTGGAAATAACATAATTATGTTATTTCCACTTCCTCTCCTATTGGTACTAGTTAAACTTTGTCTTTTTTGTATTACATAGAAAAATAAATTGGTTTGTTCAATTTATTTAATATTAAATTTTTATCAAATTTACATGCTGAGAAAAGTATATTTTTTAATTGAAAGTTTTCTTAGTGAGCTTTGAATAAGAAGAACTATTAAATCAGTTATATAGGTCTCCTAACTTTGGATATTTGAAAATTCTCCATCAAATACAAGATTTCTTTTGCCAAAGTTTCATTACTTTTTATCCAAGTATTATTATGGATGAGATGTTGTGGTAAAATTTCCATATTATTATTGTAAAATTTTTCACAAAGTTAATTATATTTATATAATAGACATAATTTATATATATGAAAATATATAAATGTCCATTGTTAAGGCTCTTCAATAAAATTTTTAATTGCATATCTAATTTTAGTAAATTTAGTAACATTTTTTATTATGTGTAACTTAAAGATCTGCTAAAATAAATTTCCCACATGGCTCCATTGGGTTTACAATGTAATTCGATACAAATACAAATAAAATAGATAAAAATATAAATTTACTTTTATTCTTAAAAAAAAAGAACTTTAAATAATATAAATAATAATAAAATGGTCATTTTCCAGTTAACAACAACAACTAATCCCATGGAAGATAATTCAATATTTAAATCTTATAATAAAAACATTTCTTCTAATTCTTTTTTGAGTAATAGTGGAGATGGAGATACCAATTATATTGTTAATAGACGTTCAATAGAAAGCACTACAATAAATACACATAAACCACCTCTTATACCTACCATAATACATCCTCTTTGTCTACCAACATCAACTTCTTCACCTAAAAAAAATAACAGTAACTCGATTTCAAATTCTAGAGAACAACATTTATTATTAACAACATTAAGAAGTTCGAGTGATCCCTTTGTATCTAGTAAATTATTAGAAACTAATAAAGTGACCAAGAAACGGCGTCGTCTCCCGGATTTTAATTTAGATAACAACAACAACAACAACAACAACAACAACAACAACAACAACAATAATAATAATAATAATAATAATAATAATAATAA